CCTTTGCCAATCACCACAGTTTTTAATTAAGTTGACATCACAAATTTTAAACACTTACCAAGTCCTATTGCCGCGCAACACATTACCGTTACAATGGATAGAGCAACTTTTAAACTTGTAATGGAATGAGCTGGTCGTGGTTTCCTGTCACAACATCGTGTCATTAAGTAGAGTAGCAATCCAAGTAGAGAGATGATGAGGAGCGCGGCCGGCACGGAACCCAATATACCCAAACTCTAAAATTGAGACGATATGAAAGCGTAATCATTATTATACTTAGTATGCAGGTGTGTTTATGTATGTAGAAAAGTATGAAGGATTGTTAAGATGAAAATATACATAGTTAGAAGTAGTGATGTGCTGTGTCGTTACTTTAAAGTATTGATCGATACTCGGTACTGATTTAAAAAGTATCCAATATTTTCGATACTCGGTACCGAAACGTTTAGACGTCCAATAGGAGCGCATGGAGACCAAAAATAAAAGCGTTTTAGGGGAGCCTAGCCTATCAAAAACAAGTGTAGGGGCTAATAGTGGTTTTAATGCTGACTTAAATGAAAAATATATATACATTTTCCATCGCCACAACGCAGAGAAACTCTTTGCTATTTAAAACATTTGTTTCTAGATGAATTGGACGATGTTATCTTTGTAGGCCTGAAAGGCGACCTTCATCCGTCAACGCATTTTTCTTGCGTTTTAGATCTACGAAGGTGGAAAGTAATAAAATGGTATTTTACTGTTGCGACAATATCAAGAAGGCGATGAGTGTGTTTTGATACATACTTTGTGGTTTCCACATTGCTTAGTAAAAAGTGTTCAACTTTTGGGAAAGCATCGTCTTACTCGTACTAATTGTGGTCGAAATGAAGTCGATGCTGCTTTCTTGACAGATATTCTGTTGAAAATTATGTCAAAAAGCTGTAATTATGTATAGAATCGGTATTGGGTACCGGAAAGGAAGTACTGGGTACCGAAATATTTCTGAAGTATTGGGTACCGAAATATTTCTATTGGGTACCGGCAATTCAGCACATCACTAGTTAGAAGTGAATTAAATTTATATATTTCGTTGCATCCTAAAAAATAAAGTATGTATGCAGTATTTTGAAACTCATTCCATCAAAAGAAAAACCCTATGAATATTAGACAGGTATTTGAATTAAAAATATCCAGTTTAGGTTTTACTACACCTACTAGTTTTCCGGCTGGTTGTACAACTTCAAAAGCATATGCATTACAAATCGAATGCTCCAACTTATAAACCTTCGACGGTGTTTAAATAAAATACTAGTATAAAGTAATCGTCCTAGTAAAAATGCGACCATAAAATTATAGCATAGCACTCGAAGTCCGACTGAAAATTTTTTATTAGTTCTGATAAAAGATCCAGAACCGTAATAGCAAATAACTCTGTTAAGGACGCAATCGGTTGTTTGGCGATTTTACATGAATGTACCTATCTCGACGCAACGTTAGCTACTACTAGTATTCTTCGGGCAATACCTTTACATTACAAAGGCTTCAAATGCAGCCTGAGACACAACAGTAAAACTCAGAGCACATTTTCACCATTAAAAAGTTGCTAACTTTCTGCCTCTGATAAAATTATCGGGCGTTTTTCCAGTCGGCCAGCATTTCAAACTCTTCGTACATAGTTAGAAGCACTTCAAGTACTCACTTCCGGCCTCTTTCCTCTTAGTGCAGCAAATAAGTTTCGATTCGCTGTGCCACATAGCTCGCGTTGCGGCTGATCGCAGCGGGGCCCTGTAAGCGGCATTTTTTTTTCTCTTCAGCTTCTTGACACTTCTCAGCGTAAAGGGAGTGGCCAAGAGAGCCAAAGGAGCGTATCTAATTTTTTTTTTTTTGAGTAATATGAGAAAGAAGGATCTATGTATAATAAATATGGTATTTTGCTGAAAAGTTCCCTCCACCTACTTGTATGTACATATGTACTAAAATTAAAATACAAATCGATTAAGCCAGATGGAAATGAAATAGGCAAAATCAGGCATTAGTTACGCCTATGTAGAAAATTTAATTATTACACCGTGCGACAGTAAATTTTACACACAAATAAAATGGATATATTCGCGTAGCTATGGAAAAAATATAGTAGAACTGGTTATTTCGTTTTTTCTCTAATTTCAGGATTTTTTCAAAAATTCCAAAAGTATGATAAATTCCAAAAATTTTTTTAAGAAATTCAGTGCAATGTAGAATAACAAATAAAAGAGAAAATTCTGTAGGATTAAAAATGTTTAAATTTTTTAGTGCATAAGGACGAATGAGTATGGAAAACGTCCTTTAAAAATTGTTTACTTGAAAACCCTTGAAAATTTAATTCAGTTATTATTATTAAATAAATAAATTATTAAATAAATCAAATTAAAATGCTTAAACTTTTTACGATAGTTTGTTGGAATTTTTCCAATATTTCACTAAGTTTAAAACTTGGTGAGGCAATATTAAGCAACTAAAAAAACACACAATTTATTTCTTCACCTAAACACTTATTATTCCATGTAAAACTGAACATGAATGAAATAAATAAAAGCAGCATACAAAAAATCCGCATAGAAAAGTTCTTTACTTTCATACAAAAACATGGGATGCTTTCCAGTACTTTCAAAAACTGCATAAATTCAGATACTCCATGTAAAACATCCTAAAAAACCTCAAAAAAAATCCAGTGAGGCAATATTAAGCAGAAAAAAAAACAATTTATTTCTTCACTTCAACAGTTAATGAAATAATTAAAATTGTATCTGTATTTTAACCAAAAACAAAAAAATACCACATTAATACATGAATTATGTAAAAATACAAATTATTTATCAGAAGTACTGTCTCTTACACACTGAAAAAAAAGTAATAAAAACTCTCAGAAAAACAAAATCGCTACAGCGAAAAAATGGTTTGAAAACCCGCATAAAAATAAACCGCATTAAAAGAGACCTAAGTATATATTTCTATGAAACATAGCAAGCAAATGAGTTTTTAAAACTTCTCAACATCCGCTGCGCTTATAATTTTGACAAGGGGGGTATTTTGATTTGATCAGGTAAAAAAAACTATTTCTATTTTATTTTTTTTTTTTTGGGGGAGGCATCTTAACTCCATCAATGCAAAGAGGCCCAACTTGACCATTTTGAAATTTGACAGGAGAAGCAAACACTTTTTAAGTTAACATAGAAAGCGCTTTTAAAGCTATTTTAAAGATCTCGTAATTTTTACAAATATGGCTTGAAAAATGAACCAGAAGGAAAATCAACGGAATAAAGCAAATACATTCTAGAAAAATTGTCATATGTATAAGACCTTTTGCATTGATGATGAGGACATGCACTGATATAAAAAAAACGCGAACAACGGTAACTATGTATGTATGAATTTTTTTACTTCATAATTAGCTTTATCATGAGTTTCATTTTCCCCGAACCGGTTCACTTTTCACTTTTT